GTGACCAAATTGTTTACACACACTGCATAGAATTTTCTTCTCTATCTTTGATACAGTGTGTCTAGTAATCTTTTCACTTGGGTCCTTCCTTCTACTAACTTTTGGCATGACTGGAATTTTTCTCCTTAAAGGTGGCAGCGGTGGTATGAACACAGTGCATGGTCACATATTACTACCATTCATACCATGCATTGGATACTTGTAAGTGTTCCTGTAAACAACTCCAAAGAACATGGGATCCACATAACTTCCAACATCTTTGTTTAGGTAGGAGATTGTTGCATCTGAGTGCACACACCCATATCTATTTTATTTCTATACTCTACAAGGACATGTCTTCTTCTCTAAATCCACCACAAAAGACTGCCAAGTTTCTCATCTCAAACTAGTTTAAACCAGTTGGTAAAATTGCCAATATCTAATAACATTGTACGGAAGTTAGTCTATGTTTAATAGTGTTGATGTTAGTCAAACAATTTTTTTTTACCTTTGAGCTTTTTTCAGTTGATTATGTAATGTTGTAATTGTTGGACAAGCTTTAAACTTAGGCCATGAACTGTTGTTCATGCTCAAATTAAACTATCTTTCCATAACATACAATCTAATTTCTTCTATGATTGTAATGATTGGTTTTTTCCTTGATCTCTTATGACATTGTTAAAGCTCTATGACAATCCATTTTCTATTTCATCACACATCCTGTCCGCTTGAAAGAAAGCACCACACCATTATTATGGGTTGTTCTCCATTAGATATTTAAAGGTTGAAGGATTAAGAAGTTGGATTTCCTTCATTGTTGCATTGAATAAAGGCTCAGTAGATGTCTTGCATGCCTTCTAAAACATCTTCTCATAGTGTACTCCGGAGAATCTTTTCCTGAAGTTGGCAAGAATATGCCTTGCATACTGTCTTTGTTCAACAGTAGTAAAAATCGCTTCCACGACCTCCAACAGTCCCTACACATAAAGAGTTGAATTGGTAAAAAAGTATAACTAAAAATCAGTTAAAAAGAGAATACAAGTACGACATATACCTTATGTTGATCTGATAACAATGTAAATCCAAAACCCTTTGTCATTCCTAAGTCATCTTTTAAATTCTCCAAAAACCATTTTCCAATTCTCTTTATTTTCCACACAAACAACTGCCAAAGCAATTGGGAATATATGATTATTAGTATCTCTGCCAACTGCACATATAAACTCTCTAGTAGATAACCCCTTCATGAAACAACCATCCAGGTTTATTACTCTTCTACAACTGCCTAACCACCATGCTTTAGTCCCTCAAAACACACATAAAACTTACTAAAATATGTCTTCCCATCTTGCATACTATTGACATCCATTTCCACAGTAGATCCAGGGTTTGATCTTCTTATCTCCTAACCAGATGACCAAAACTTTGCGTAGTCCTCAACCAATGTGCCTTCAAGTAACTGAATAACATGCTTTTTTGCTCTACTACACTAACCTATACACACATCAATACCAAAAGTCAGTTTGACCTCTTCCTTAAGCATCCTAACACTTATTTTTTTTGTTTATGTAAGAGCTCATTTGTGAAATGGCTGCCAATCCAAGAATAACTAACAATTAAACCCAGTTTGAAGTTTCTTGCACAATTATGCTCATCTATTAAGGACTTAATCTAGAAAGAATGCTCTTCACTTGTCCATGAAGCCCACATTCTAAACTTACACTGCCCAGAACAACATTTAACTAAAAGTCTTCTACTATCATTTGTTTATAGCAGAATTGGTAGTCTTTAGCAATAACATAATTACATAACATATGCTTTATCCGTTTTCGACTATCAAATCGCATACCTAAGACAAGTATTTGTTTTTCCAATGCACATTTTCATTATATGTAGTTATATCCTCAAGATTTTCCTCATTGTCATCCATCTTAGCATATGGATCCTTATGAGGTGGATTGTTTGGGGTTGAATGCACGTTGGGCGTAGCTTGCTAAAAAAATATCATTCATGGTCTTAGTCATCAAAATGAAATCTACATGTTCAAGGTCATCGTGTATATTACATTGCAATTTATCCGGGTCATTCTGAACAACTCCCTCAATATGTACTTCTTCAATAACTTTAGTTACCCTTGAATGGTTGTCTTCCACACCACTTACATCAAATTGCTCGTCGATAATCCGTTGATGTATATTTACACCAAAATGATCCATGTATACATCTACGACACAAGCAACAACAAACCCAACTTCGATGAACTCCTGTTAGTCTATTTCATTAGCTAATATCCTCTATCCATTAGGAAACTCTATTTCGGGCATGTAAAAATAAACGTTCACACACCTCTCATTTGTAAAATTTTCAATGAACCCCACAAACTCGTTCCTATCCATTCTAATAATATTGACATCCTCAAACCTTTGATCAGCTCTATCCATCTAACTAATTATTGGGTACCTAGTAAAAAACCCAGCAAAGTGAACATCGATCTTGAGGCTTTAGGGGAACAAAGAACAAGAGAACGACTGTTATTTGTTAAAATATTTGTAGGGCAAGCTCATAAGCTCATTTAATGGTAAGGCGACGTGGAATCTTAGTTGGCATATTTTTTAAATGAGGTAGGATTAAAACCTACTGACTAGGACGAGGTTTACCAGCTCACCCCTTCAGTTTGAACATAATGGCATTAAGAATAGGTAAATTAACAATTCGTTTCCCTAAAATTAACAATTCGTTTCCCTCATCGATTTCTCAAATATGGTTAGATTTTCTTAGATCTGGTGTGTTTGGTGTAATGTCAAGCTTAAATATGGTGTATACGAAGCATTTCATGGTATCTAGTGGTGGTTCCACTACCGTATCAGATCTATTCAACCATCACCGCTCCTCACGTAAGATCATCGAAAAAGTCACCAACAACCATTAACCTTTTCAAATCTGAAGTCAAAGATGAATTGATTTCTCATATATGATGTGTTTGGTGTAAAACAGACATAGATGTGGTGTCTATGAAGCAGTTTATGGTGGCTAGCAATGGTTCTATCACTGAATCAGATCTGATTTGTATGGTGCTTATAGATCTAATTTATATGTTGCTTATAGCTCTTACATGTGTAGTGCACACAAGGTGTTTGATGAAATGCTTCAACAAAATCAGGTATGTTTTTAAACTGTAAATACTATGAATAAGAGTCCCGAAATGTTTTATTAAACCGTGAATAAAAGTCCAAAAATGTTCTATTAAATTGTGAATTTTTGTTGTGCATACTCTGAGTAAGTGTCCTAAAATTTTTATTAATCTATGAATAATGTTTTTGGAATGTAAGTTTTAAGTTTAGAATATAGGTATGAATGTATATTTTTTTTATGTATTAAACTGTGAATTTTGTGTATTAGATGTGAGTTGATTGTATTAATTTGTGAATAAATTGTATTAAGCTGCGATTTTTTTAATGAATTTTGTGTTTGATTCGAAATATGAGATGAAAGAAGCAATATACACATATATGATTTTCTCTAATTTTGAATAAAGTATCTAAAAATTAAACTATGAATATTAAAAAAGATAAACTTAAGAAAACACTAGCCTCCAAATATCAAGGTATAAATATAAGTTTTTAGGTTGAGATATGGTTGTCACTTGTCAATGTATAATTTTTGTGTATTAAACTATTAATTTATTGTATTAAATGTGAATTGACTACATTAAACTGTGAATTGACTGTATTAAGTTGTTAATTAACTGTATTAAACTGTGAATTCTTTATTTTAAACTGTAAATTTATTATATTAAACGATGAATTCTGTATATTAAATTGTGAATTTACTATATAGAGTTGTGAATTGATCATATTAATTTGTGAACTGACTGTCCACATTTAAAGGTATAAATGAATAAGTTAAGAATATAACATTTATACACATTAAGATGTGAATTTATTGTGTTAACTAGTGAATTTTGTGTATTAAATTGTGAACTAACTGCATTAAATTGTGAATTGTATTGAGCTACGATTTTTTTTTTTTTTATAAATTTGGTGTTAAAATATGAATTATTTATGTATGAATTTTGTATTAATTTTCTTGTAATTATATTTATTTTTTGTTGTATAAATATGTAAGAATATAGTAGTTTTATAATTGTTTTACATTAAACTCCAAATAAGTAAATTAATATGTTTATTGAACTGTGAATGTAGTATTTAAGCTATCAATACATGATTTTATATTCATACAGGTCTGATTTGGAAGGAATGATAGTTGCAACGGTGACAGAGGTAGTTAGTGACAACTTGTAGTAATGGGAGGTGATGGTAGAGTTTGAGTTTGACTTCTTTGGAATTTTGAATTATTGTAAGATAGATTGTGTTAAGTTGTGAATTTTATATATTAAAATATAAATGGACAATATTAAATTATGCAATAAATATATATTGTGTTTAAATATGAATGAAAGTATAAAATTGTTATAATTATGAAATTTCCCTTTTCTTACTAAAAAGACAAAATAAAAAAGGTGTAACATACACGTTTTGAAATCGTGTTTTGTAAATTTTAAAAGTGAATAATAATATGAAATATCATATAATTATGAGTATTGAGTTCTAAGAGATAGCTTTTACTATAAATAAAGTAAACTATGTTTAAAATCACTCGGAAAAATATTGAAAGTCATATGAGATTCCAATCAAAAGACAAATATTGAAATTTAACGAAAATATAAAATTTGAAATAAGTAAATTTTCATTACTAAAAGTTGTAAAGAATCTCGTTAGAAACATTTAGGTGAAAACCTCATCGAAATCCAATTTATAATGAAGAAGTTATGA